GACGACATTGCATGTGCGTGTCCCGCTTTAACAAAAACAGACAATATAAAATATCTAAGTATCACGTTTGACACAAATTTAAATTTCCGCAAGCACATCGATTTACTTTGTGCTAGAGTTCGTAAATTAATATATATTTTTAAATATCTTCGTAACATCGCTGACTTCAAATTGATAAGACAGGTCTATTTAGCTTTGTGTCAATCCATACTCACTTATGGCATTACTTCCTGGGGTGGTGCTTCTAAAACAATATTGCTCCCACTAGAACGTGCTCAGAGAGCAGTTCTAAAGGTAGCCACTTTCCGTCCATTCATGTTTCCTACACATCAACTGTACTTGGCATGTAGTGTACTAACTGTCCGTCAGTTGTTTATTCTGAAAATCATATTAAAACAACATACCGAACTTCCATTTAACTTAAAATCCATAGACAAAAGAAGAATGGACTTAGTTTGTGTAAACCCTCAAACCAAACACGCATTTGTGAACAAATTTTACATATTTTTAGGACCCTTTCTATATAACAAGCTCAACAAGTCACTAAAGGTATATAGTCTAAGTTATAAGGACTGTAATATAAGTGTAAGGGAATTTCTAAATAAATTAAATTACGAAGACACAGAGAAGTTGTTAGATATACTAAAATAGTTTGTATTAATTGTAGGCAATAAATAATTGTTATTTAGTTATTTTATTTATTATACAATTTAGTTTAATTATTTAAATATCTAGTGTCCTACATTATTAAACCGATTGTATAAGTGATGTCTGAAACACAGGTACTCAACCTAGTTCAGGCAGGTAGCTAATATTATAAATATGAATTTTCTATCTTCTTTTGTAGATTCTACATTATTTAGCTACACATAGTTTTAATTTTATCATAGCATGTTATTTTTGTTAGACTTATTGTTACTTTATTAATTGTAATCATTCTGATTCCTGTATGTCAACATGTGTAATTCGAAATGAAATAAATATTTATTATTATTATTATTATAACGCTCCGTCCCCCTCGTGCTCTAATCCAAAGTCCCGAAACCTTTCAGCTCGAGTTACAAAACCATTTTCAGTGCCTAGAAGACTGCAATGAAGTTGACGATATGAATGACAAGCTCGTGGAAACTGTCCATGCGGTCGGAGCTAAGTTTTGCAAGACCCGCCGCAAAAGAACACAAAAACTCTCCAATCACACTCTTAATCTCATGGTTGTTAGACGGGAGATGAAGCTACATTATTCAACAGATTTGACAGCATACAGGCAACTGAACAGACAGATCTCTAAATGCATGCGGTGGGACTTACGCAACTTCAATACAGCTCATATTGAAGAAGCGATCGAGCCGAACCAAGGCTCCAAAGTCTTTGCCAGAGATCTGTCTGCCAGAAAGAGCCAACTGTCAAAGCTGAAGACAGAATGTAGCAGAATCGTTTCCGGAGCACCTGAGATTTTGAGTGAGATTGAGAGGTTCTATGGGCATCTGTACACGTCATCGTTGCGGAGCGGAGCTTCTGAAAGCGGGTGGAAAACCGGTACTTGAAGTCCTTCAGAAGCTCTTTAATTCCGTCCTCCATGGTGGCAATACACCGGAGGCGTGGAGCAGAAGTGCGGTGGTCTTGTTCTTCAAGAAAGGCGACAACGCTCTCTTGAAGAACTACAGACCGATTTCCCTTCTGAGCCGCGTCTACGTGCTGTTTTCGAGAGTCATTACGAATCGTCTCGCGCGCAGACTTGACGACTTCCAGCCTCCCGAACAAGCCGGTTTCCGAAATGGCTTTAGCACCATAGACCACATACATACCCTTCGGCAAATTGTACAGAAGTCAGAGAAGTACAATTTGCCACTATGTCTGGCGTATGTGGACTATGAGAAAGCCTTTGATTCCGTCGAAATTTGGGCGGTGCTGCAGTCCCTTCAGCGGTGCCAAGTGGATTGTCGGTATATCGAAGTGCTGAAGTGCTTGTACAGTAGGGCTACGATGGCTATCCGAGTACAGAACCAGAGTACGAAACCTATCCAATTGTAGAGAGGTGTAAGACAGGGTGACGTCATATCCCCGAAATTTTTCACCGCTGCATTGGAAGACGTTTTCAAGCTTCTGGACTGGAAAGGATACGGTATCAACATCAATGGCGAGTACATCACTCACCTTCGATTTGCCGACGATATAATCCTTATGGCAGAATCGCTGGAGGACCTAAGCACTATGCTCAGTGACCTCAATAGTGCTTCCCAACGGATAGGTCTTAAGATGAACATGGTCAAAACAAAGATCATGTTTAATGTCCATGTTACACCTATGCCGGTAGTTGTTGGGAGCACTAAGCTCGAAGTTGTTGACGAGTATGTTTACCTGGGACAAATGGTCCGACTAGGTAAGTCCAACTTCGACCGAGAGGTTAATCGACGGATTCAACTCGGTTGGACAGCGTTCGGGAAATTACGGCACATCTTCTCGTCAGGTATACCTCAAAACTTGAAAACGAGACTGTACAACCAGTGCGTGTTGCCAGTGATGACATACGGACTGAGACGTGGTCCTTCACTGCTGGCCGGATGAGGAAGCTCAAGGTCGCTCAGCGAGCTATGGAGACGGCTATGCTAGGAGTGTCTCTGCGTGATAAACTCAGAAATGAGGATATCCGCAGTAGAACCAGAGTGACTGACATAGCCCAACGGATTAGTAAGCTGAAGTGGCAATGGGCCGGCCATATATCTCGAAGAACCGACAACCGATGGGGAAAAAAGGTTCTCGAGTGGCAGCCTCGTACCGGCAGGCGAAGTGATGGGCGTCACCCCACTAGATGGAGTGACGGCCTGGTAAGATATGCAGGAAGTTGATGGATGCAGGTGGCTCAGGACCGTGCTTTGTGGCATTCCTTGGGGGAGGCCTATGTTCAGCAGTGGACTTGTGAAGGGCTGTAATGATGAATGATGATGATGATGATTTATACTTAAGTCGAATGTTAAAAAGTTCTATAATGTATTTAATTATTAAATGTTTATAATTATCACAAGTAATATTTATATGAAAATAAAGCAGCCATTATGTACTCCGTGTCCCCGTTTTATTTCCCCAGCAAAACATTTTATAAAATATAAATAAGTATATTCTTAGTTAAGTATCTACCTATTTATATTAACAATATATTAAAAAAGAAATTCCGGAGAAACTGCCCACGGCAGTAAATATTTTTCCCTAAAGATCATAGCTCGAAAATACAACTTTCCGATGTGATTATTGGGGAGTTTTTTAAGTTTATCGGTAAATTCACCTGGGATTTTATACATTTTAATTGAAATCCAACAAAAGGCGGGTAGATTTAGTTTATTCCCAGGAACATGTTATATGAATATTTTTTTTAATTATTTTAGTACTATCATGGTATTTTTTCAGTTAATTTTTGAAGTTGTTCAACTTCATGCACTAAACACTTTTATTAAATCCTTTTACCACTTCCTTAACAATCAATTTAGATAGTCCTTGTAAGTAAAATATACATCATTAGCTAACGCACACAATAACAAATCAAAATTGGTTACGCGTTTTCGGGCTGTCAGGTGGTCTATACGGCAGTTTACTCTTAAGACTATGCCTGAATCCATCTGTTGTCAAGTTGTCCTTTGTCAAACTAGGAATAAAAGTTAAGACTATGACTATAAATAATAAGCGTCATATTCAGTGTGACCATATGTAGCAGGTTCCTGCCATTTTGGCAGGATTGGCCTCTTATTTTAGCCTTTGGCATGATCTGTTGACGTTTTATAAAACCTGGCAGTATTTGGCAGTATTGGGGTATTAAAAATAGATGTCATTATGGCAACTTAAAATGATGGAAATGGCAACTTAAAATGATGGAAATGGCAACCCTAGTAATACTTGGTCAGCATGTTGGGGATTTCCCTGTATTTCTCGATTTCCCGTATTGTTTGTATCACATTCAATAAACAACATTAAAAAATTTTGTGTATAAAGTTAATCTTAAAACGAATTTACACGAGTTGGTTAATATTTCAATCAGTCATAAAAGAGACGTACTTTAGTTTGGTATCGCCTTAGATTTCATGATGAAGATAGTGATTATAGGTGGCGGTGATGAAGCGAAAATATGAAAGGGCGTATAGAGCAAAGTGCGAGCAAGATCTTTTACTTTCATCATGGATCTCCAAAGCTAAAGATGCAGGCCGCTACTAGTAAACATCAAAAAATATGAGTGGATTCAACATGCGAAAGAATATTCTCTCAAATAAATTGAATTAAGACAAAAACACGAAACAAATTTATAAACAAACATTTACTGTCTATCTAGTACGTTAAACAAGGCGTCGGTGAGCATGGCGATTGCATTGCATTCAAACCAACGAAAGATATGTTTAATTTTATTTTAATAAAAAAGTAACATTTAAATGTGTATTTTTACTTTTCCTAGTTTAATACAATGGTAAATAAAGTTGGCAGTATGTAGGCATTTTTCACTATATACTTTGGCAGGTTTTTAACCAAAGTAAGGCAGGACCCGTTTTTTAAAGATGGTCACCCTGGTCATATTTAGTATTAGTCTGTGAACTGTAACCACAGATAAAATAATAGTGTACTGTAAATAAAATAAATATGTCTGATCTCTGATAACTTGAAGTTTGTAGTTTGTACTTGGGTTAAAATTGCTTATGAAATAAGAATAAGATAGTTATTTCTTATGTACTACATCTACACTCTTCAGATTTACTGTAGTAGTAAATCTGAATAAAGAGTATTTAATCGCTACGTTTAAATTCAAAGTTTCTGCTGTTTTCGTCGTGAGAGCTTTGCACCACAAATAACCTGCGTTACCTGCGGAGTTCGGGCGGAGTTTTTAAATGAACAATATTACAATACTAATGTTACCAAATCTACAACATATAATCTCTACCTGAATTATTCTTTAAGACATTTAAATATTATATAATGAACCAGGATTAATTAGTGTACACTTTCTGAAAAAGTCTGTAACAAAAATGGAAAATCATATTAGACTTTTTAGTGACATTGCGGGTGAAATTTATGATGATGAGAACTTTATGTCAAACACATCTTCTGATCAGGTAATAACATGTTTTTGCTTTGCCTATAAACAAAGTACATTGCTTTTTTTTTATAAAACTAGTGACAAATGAACTTGCAGTCCATCTGACGGCAAGTAGCTTCTGCAGCTCGTGAACACCTGGGACCAACTTCAAGCAAAGAAGATTATGTGTATGTGATACATTATCTTTTCTGAAGACTAAGATAAAATTCCTTATAGCTATAGTATTTCCAATGAATATCTACAAGAATTATTTTTATGAAATATTTACATTAATTTTTATTTCAGATTGATGTTGAATCTGTGGTTTTAAAAATATATAAACAATTTGAATCTAAGGCATCAATTGATCCTTATCTGCCCAAGCTTAACAGAAATTTACATGGCAAATTATTAAAAAGTTGGCTGTTAAATTTGCCTAAAAGTTACAGATGCTTGGAAGCAAGTAGACCATGGCTAGTATACTGGATTTTACATGCTTTATGGATATTAAGTGATTTACCTGATGCAAAGGTATTATCTAATGTAATCCAATTTCTCTCTCACTGCCAGCATGAAGATGGTGGATATGGAGGTGGACCTAGCCAGTTTGCTCATTTGGGTACAACCTATGCAGCTATTAATGCTCTTTGTATTATTGGCACAGACGAAGCTTATGCATCAATCAATAGAAATTCCTTACTAAAGTTCTTATGGGCAGTTCGTGATATTGATGGCTCCTTTGCACTCCACAAAGGTGGTGAACGGGACATAAGGGGAGCTTATTGTGCTATTAGTGTAGCAAAACTGACCAACATATATTCAGACACTTTGTTCGATAAAACTGCAGAGTGGATTGTAAGTTGTCAGACTTATGAAGGTGGATTTGCTGGATGTCCTGGCATGGAAGCACATGGTGGATATGCATTTTGTGGTGTTTCAGCATTAGCTCTTTTAAATAGAACACAGTTGTGTGATGTAGACGCTCTGCTTAGGTGGTGTGTTAATAGGCAAATGCGTGTTGAAGGAGGCTTTCAAGGTAGAACTAATAAATTAGTTGATGGCTGCTACTCCTTTTGGCAAGGAGCTATTTTTCCAATTATAAGTGCAATTTTTTCTCAAGGTTGGTAAGTTATAAAACTAAATGTAAAAAAAGTGTCAAATTGGGAAATTAATATAATGTTTAATTTACTTTTTCAGGAAATAAAGAATTTGTGGAAACAGTTCTTTTTAACCAAGGTGCCTTACAAGAGTATATTATAATTTGTTGCCAATCACCAGACGGGGGGCTTATTGATAAGCCTGGCAAGTAAGTAAATGATTTCAAGTATTTTTTTTTATATGTAGTACTGACATATTTTCTAATAAGTTGAAATATTTTTTCAGACCTAGAGATATCTATCATACATGTTACACTCTAAGTGGTTTATCTGTCGCACAGCATGGTACCAGTGTGGGAGATTCTTTTGTTGTGGGCTCTCCTTCTAATGAACTCAACAGTGTACATCCATTGCACAATATTGCACCTCATCTTGTTTATAATGCCATGAGTTATTTTAAAAAAAACTCAATTTCTAAGAAATAAGTAACAGCCATAATGCCTATGTGTGTATGCAATATTTTGGTATAAGAATGTAAGGATGAATATTGACAGAATAAAGAACATATAAATTAATAATGATAATGATTTTTTTTTCATGTTATATGTTGTGAATAGAATAAAAGTAATATGTGATAATAGTAAGTATATTTTTACAAGAAACTTATAACTTTTATATCCTTAAATAATAAAAAATAGCATGAAACCTTACTTCTTTCATCTAATAGTGGTTTTTTAATTCAGGTAGTATATTATCATATACATCAAAATGATGTAACTCTATGCTAAATAATAAATTAATTCTTAGTAAGCAATTTTATATTTTAATTTATCTGAATTTAAGTACTTGTGTTGGTGTTTTCCAATTTTAGAATTTAAATTGATTATGTACCTATATTTAAAATAAAATTAAAACGGTTATTATGGATTATTGATTACTTGGTACACAATTTTTTTAGTCTTTGGCTAGATGAATTTACGATAAAAATTCCTCTTTGTCTTCCTCCTTTCTATGATGAACTATAATCTATAAAATTACCTTCATAGAAAGGTACAATGCATTTTGTCCATCCCAATGAAATTTTAAACAATAATCATATTTCACATATTACACAACATTTACAATATATCAAATTTTTAATGTCAGTTTATTCCTAATGGTCTCAATATTCGACAGCATTCTTTGGGGGAGGCCTATGTTCAGCAGTGGACTTGAAAGACTGTGATGATGATGATGATTAAACATCTTCAAGTTTGTTTATTATTCTCTCTTTAAATTCACTAAAAGAAAAAGTAATGATTATAATTCAACTAATTTGTTCTATAAAAATTAATTATATCACACTAGAACAAATTCTTCCGACTCTAAATCAGTATCACTATCTTGAACTGCTGTAGTAGCCCAATTTGGTTCAGATTCATATATAGAATATCTTATTTGAGGTGGATCCATGATAGTATTACGGGATCCATAATTAATTGAAAAGATGGGGTATTCATTGCTTGAGGAGGAGATTCCTTGAGGGATTAAAAATGATTTTATGACATTTACAAATGTTTCAAAATCATGCTGGGTAGCTAGATAAAAACCAATGCAACATGATGGATCCATTTTGCTAATGGGCATTTTCCGTGGTGAGCGACAATGAAATGACTGAAGAGAAAAGTTAGGTTGCCATACATCAACCATCTCTTGGCAATAATGTGGATCTAAGTGAATGAGTCTATCATCTTGATATCCAACAAAATACAAAGAGTGCTTAGGCCGTCCACCAATTATACCTATACAAAAGTCCAAAGTGAGAAGTGATGTCAAACAAGGACCATAAATTAAATTTAATTTATCTGTTCCTAGTTTTACAGGCACTAATAGAATAAGAGATTTCCAAGCACCATTAGGGAGTTGGCAAAGTGAATGCACATCTTGAACATATACTGTAGATTCTTGCGCAACATACACTTCCAAGTTATCAAACTCATAATTTTCTTTAGAAGCTGCATTCATTACAGCCTTCAAGCAATGTGCCACAGATGCTGGACCATACCAGTCCCCTGGCTTCTTTCCTAAGGCCTCTCCCAAATTAACCATTTGATGAATAGATAGAGGGCTATTTACAGATGATTTATCTCCAAACCATTTTATTATCATACGATGGAGACAATCTTCTTGAAATTCTCTGGCATTCTGTATAGTTCGGTCTGGTAACCATCTCCACGAGCGTCCTAGAAAATGACACACCAATGCTTGGGCTAATAACATTTGCCCACTGCGTAGCATACAACCCCACCCGCAATCTGTAGTAAATGTAGAACCAGACATAATAGGAAATTCTCTTCTATACGTCATCCATATTCTGCTAACAAAGTCAGACTTAAATCCTTCAATACCTTCTCCATATATCTGCTCCATAGGATTATGTGCTGTTGCTTCAGTTCCGATTTCTGTGGAAGATTCTAGAGAACCACTTGGACTTAACTTTCGATGATAGCAGCGTCCTAAGAGCCATACAGGGGATTCTTTTGAAAATGTAGTTTTTAATTTTACTGTCCATCCAAATTTTACATTATTCCACATCGACAATAACCTCGATTCAACTTTTCCTTTGAGATCAAGCAGGTCTTCGGAGCTATCACGAGTGTTTTCCTTTGAAGTTGTGGCTCGACTTATGTTTTCAACCTTCATACTAGTTGGGCTATGGATAACACCAGAATTAGAAGTGTTTATCAATGAACTTTGTGAGTTTAAGCCGCTTGTGCCGTTCATAATAGTACGTTTATCTTATTAACAATTTCATAATATAAGCAATATATCAACGACTAAACCATAAAAATCTGACTGTTAAGATTTTACTATTCTTCATTTTTCGTTTTTCATAATTATTACACATAAGAACTATAATATGTATAAAGGAGACTATTCACTACGATTTTACTCACTATAAAAATGTATTTATTCTACAAATCAAAATACAATAGCAAATAGAATTTGTGAAACAATAACAGATAAGCAATTATCACCACAGATAAGCAAAGAGTATTTAATTTAATCACTACTCACTACTAGAGATGCATCGTTTTTTTCGCAACCTGTTACGACAAATCGCGCATTAAGTTTTTTCAGTAACGTCCAAGAACTAAACGTTATTTTTTTTTTGTTTAAAAAACGTTACCCACACTAGGATTTTCTCCTATTAACTATTATTGCACAATAAGTTGCGCCAATTGCTAAATGCGTTGACACTGCCACCAATACGTTGTCAATTTTGTTTCTTTTTTAGTTATTTTATTTTACGGCGGTGATTAGTCACAAAATGACTTAATTTACAACCAAAAAGGTTTGTCAATAGATTATTTCAAATGTCAATAAAAATTAAAATGTTGGTACATTATACTGTAAACAATTTTTTATTTACATTTTACTGCCCACCAATATATTATATTTTTCATTGCTTTACTTTCATAACGAAATAGTTAACTACCTAGTAACGACTATACTAAACAAAAACTAATAGGTACTTAAACAACGTGTTAAGATTACGAGGTTATGAGAAACCTGTAGTAGAAAAAAACCTATTGTCGCAACAGGTTTCTTAAAAGAAATGTAACTGGTTGCATTATTGCGTGAACGCAACGGTAACGCCCATCTCTACTCACTACGTTTAATGCAGAACATATAGTCTAGTTGACGACTTACGTAAGCAAGTCTATGGTAAGCATCATAAGTCTGAGGCGACTCTAATATATGATTCATTTTTACTAAGGAAGTTTCTTCTCTTAAACATAGTGATTATATTCTCTTTGGTATCATTCTTCATCTTCCAGCTTCTTATTAAACGTATTATTCACGGTCTATCTTTCTGTACGTCCAGTCAAGGTCATGCACGATGTACGGTTCAAAACGTACGTACGTATCTCAAGTATATATTATCGTCGTCGCTTAGCTACTGTATGAATATTTTCAACATACTGAGCGAAACGGTTCTGCTTGACGCAACGCTCAATATGGCAACGGTGAAATGCAATTCGTGCAATGTTGTGATCAATGAAGTTTTAGCATTTGTGCAAAATAAGCTATGCTCAAAAGGATTTAGTGCTGAGGAAATTAGATGTGCAAAGGATTTACGGTTCGGTGCTCTTCCAGAGAAACGAAATAAGAGGCGTAAAAGTGATGCTAAGTCTCAACGTGATTTGGAGGATATTGTCAGTGTAATAAAGGAGACTGATCCTGACACTATTCCTATTTTTGTGGCGCGCGACTTACAAAAACTACCCCCTGTAACTTTCGACCACATTGATGTTACGAGATTATTGAAAGACCTTATTATAATGCAGAAGGAGCTTAACTTTGTTAGAGAAAATTATGTCACTAAGGACCAGGTACAGGATTTAAAAAAATTACTAAATAGTACAGCGAATATACAAAACATAAATACAATGCGCGGGGCTCTTGTTGTGGATAGCTTTGATTTGGAAGACATCAACGGCGCGTCGGAACTACCTCACGTTCAAAACGATTCACCCATCACGAAAACATATAAAATGTCAAATAGTATTACTACATTGAGTGAACCGTCATCGAAGGAGTCACAACGTATGGAGTTCCAAACCGCGGTTTCAAACACACTATGCTGTATGCACCAGAGATCCCGAAGGAATCGCAAGCGACGAAGGATATGCACATGAAGACGCCTAACGCGATTTCGGACGCAAGGGAACACACGCCGGCGATGCAAGTCTGCGAACGTTCAAGTGCGTATTCTAAACCTACTATGACTGAAGTTTTGAACATTGGTACTTGGGTTAGGACTAAACCGAATGATGAGTGGATATTATATCAAAGGAGAAGGGTCCGTAATCGCCTGGAAGGAAAGACTGGTAAGGCTGTGTTGAAAAATATGGGTACGTTCAGAGCAGCTGAAATTAAAGTACCTTTGTTAATCACCAATGTGAACAAAGATGTATCTGAGAGCGAAATCCTGAACTATATATTAGATAAAACCCAAGAAAAAGTAGAAATTGAGGAAATTAATATGAAAATAGTAAAACCATACAATGCATATAGAGTATTAGTACCTAAACAGAAATTAGATATATTTCTCGAAGATAACTTATGGCCATCTGGAATAACTTATAGACGTTATGTATATTTTAATAAAAGAGAGCTAGTTGGGGCAAATAGCGCTAAGCGGTCCACCATTGTTGATAATTCAAAATAAATCATAATGGATTGTAAAAATGATAATTTAACACTAATTTCTTTTAATTGTAAAAGTATTAAGAGATCGTTTGAAAATGTAAGAGATTTATGTGAGAAAGCTGATTGTGTAATTCTACAAGAGACCTGGTTACTGCCATGGGATATTCCGATTTTAGGGAAAATACATAAAGGTTTTGGTTACGCAGGAAATTCGGCAATAGATGTAGGCGCTGAAATACTTCGAGGCAGGCCATATGGAGGAGTCGCTATTTTATGGCGAAAAAGTGTC